ATTTGTGGTTTCACAGGCCAGTCTAAATTCTAGGTTATCTTCAAACCTACATTAAAAAATGGTTGTGAAGAAAACTTGTGGTTGTAGAATTAAATAATCATGTACAGAAAATGCTGGTACCAGGCTTGCCAGTACCTTACAGTGACATTCTTCTGTGATTTCACTATGATACAGTCTTTAATTGCATTTGTATGTACTCTAGTTTCGGCATGACCCTCTGCTCATTCATGGTAGAGAAGTGATCGTGCTCAAAAAAAGGTTCAGGGCTGTGCAATGAATGATGTGGCTGTCTGTGTAATTCTGCCTCTTTTGTAGCGATGGAGAGGTACTTTTCCTGTAGAAGTGGTACTGCATGAAAAGGAAGTGCATAGCTCTTCAAAAACATAATTACTGTGGGAGAAGAAAACTAGAATAATAAGCATATAATGGAAGGCTTTATGGAAGAAAAAGAAAAAAACTTTACCCTTAATTTAAAAGGACAGTTAACTCTTGTGATGTTCTGTGTAATTCTTTGATCATTAATTAATAATCATAATAGACTCTACAGAGGATGTGTTTTCCTAGTATTATGCAATTCTTGGAGCTTTGTTAAGGAAGTCGAATGCTGCCGGGGAACTGATTCTGGTTTTGGCTTTGTCAAAAATCCTGTGTGATTTTGAGCAAGCCATCTGAACCAAAACCTCTGCAGTTATCCACTGAATGTGCTCCTCTTATTTTCTGGCAAACCTAAAGAAGATGAGCACTCATAACTGAAGTTGGTTGGAGAGTACTAGTGCTTTAACACAGAAAAATGTCAAATACTTTGAAAGGCTAGGGGTCTGATGTCTTAGATTGGCACCCAGCATGAGTACCTTGGTTTTGTTCTAGAGAATGTAGATTACAATATTACCATTTATATGGGAATCTTGTGAATATTAATGAGTTCATTTTCTGTTTTTCTCACAATGTTATTAGAAATACCCAAGATAGCGTATTTGTATTCAACTTGGGTTTTGTTATATGGCCTACAGCCATGTGCTCAACAGTGAAGATAATAGCATTGAACAATTTTCATTACTGAGTCAACCAGATTTGAAAAAAAAGTTGTTTATGATCACAGCTTTACCAAACACAGTACCCACTAGGGCATAACATAGTGTCAGCTTTTAAACAGCCATTCTCCTCTTGTCATTTCATGTCTCTCTAGTGTTCAGATAACTAACAGATGTTGAAGTCCTATATAGGCCCTCATTTGCATCTTGTCCTCAGGCTTGCAGTATTAAGTGAAGCAGTGTCGGAATATTTTTGAAAGTTTGAACCTGAAGCCCTAACTTTCCCCTAACATTTGAGTTATAAAGAATGCACATTATGTAAAAGTTAGGCTGATTTTGACTGCTGAACAGAAAAAATGGAAAATAAAATTTTAAAAAAATTAAAATAACAGTTTTGCACAGATGCAGAAATTTTATTGTGCTATAGAAATAACAAAATCAAAGTGAAAAAAATGTACTTACTGATTTAGGTTGCCAAAACCAACCTGGAAATGTTATTTTGAGACTGGCATTTGAGTATCTTAACTGGGGTTGGACTAGATAACGTCCAGAGGTGCCTTCCAACCTCAACCATTTTGTAATTCTGTGATCCTGTGAACTGGACGCATTGGATTATATTTTCAGGTTTTAATGCAGTCCAGCATTGATCTATGTAACCAGTACACCACTGCATTTTTAAAGAAAACTACATAGGTTTTGAGATTTACTGACAAAAAGGTAATTACAAAATTAATTGCATCTGAAATTATTCTGCCTTATAATGAACTTGAACTATAGGTTTAGATTAATGCCAAAGCTACACTGAAGAACAACTGAAATTACGTTCTGAATCTTCAGAAAAAAATTAAGACTATTATATGTAATATAATGATCTTTGCACCTTCAGAGAGTGATAAATGTTATGAGGATACTGCAGAACCCGCGCAAAGATATCACCCGAGACATTGTCTAGACTAACAACCGTAACAGAAAAAGAAACTCCCAAAGAAGTTGTTCTAAAGACACAGTGTGGTTTAGGTATCAATAGTGAGCAATTCAAGAATCAATTAGATGCCATCTCAAGGGATACTAAATGTCAAGAGTAAAGAAGTTTTATTAGACCAAACAGCATTTACTTTTACCTGTTGTTGTAGCACTTAAGTCAGTCATAACACTAGATAAATCTGAGGAAATCAGTGCATGTATTAGACTCCAGTTACAGAAAATCTGAGATTATTTCACTTAATGTATTTTAAAATGAAGTGGGCTTAGTCTGTGTACCAGTAAAGAATTAATTGGAGTGAGACTAGCAAATAAGGAGCAATGGGTTAAACTTAGGAGGAAAGGTTGCATTTGTGCTTCAGGTTCTTAAAGTGCTTTGCATGCTGTTTAAGGTGAGTAAAGAGAATCTAAGTAACTCAGATATTTTAGGATAGTGGTTTCCCTGTGAGTATGACTAAGCAATATTAATACACATACTTCATCACAAGTCATTATAAGTATTCCTGGTGGGAAATGTAATATACAGCCATGTATTTGCAAAGCAAGACACACACAAAAAAGAGATAGGAATGAGCTGTAAACATGGTAGGTAGTTTATTCTGGGTATGTAAAAATTGACCTACAGTAAATATTTTTCAGTAGATTTACTGTTAGTAAGGACCAGGGAGTGAATAGCATGACAAGTAAATTTATAGATAACACTCATTTCTTTCTAATAGTCAAAATGACAGATGACAGGAAATAAGCAAAATGTTATAATCTTTTCAAAACTGGTTGGAAACAAGCGCTAAAATGTTCTGCTGTTGTCATTTAAACCAATGGTAGGCATTTTTCAGGAGTACAGTGTTCACTGCTGGGTATGGCTCACAGGAGAACTATAGTCCCAGAGTTGTACAAAAACCATAACATAACTGTAGTTAAAAAATTTTAGACTTACTTATCGTTTGGTGCAATAATTATCAAAGTATATTCTAGATGTTCTGATATGTAATACAGTTATAATTGAGTTCAGTATCTTTGGATCGCTTATAAGATTCAATACATTGTATTCTAAGACTGCTCAGAAGATGACTTTGTTCTGTTTTAACAGAAGGCACAAGTTTTCACTACTAAATAGGGGCTTTGTGTAGATATTTTATGCTTTACTGTGTGTCTAAAAATTTAGGTAACTAGATTAGGAAAGTTGATATTTTGACATAAACTTGTCAGCTTGGGTTTTTTGGGTTTGTGGGTTTTTTGTTAAAGTTCTTCATGTAAGCCAGTGAAAAGTGTAAGTGTGACTGATCAAAGAGTCAGTGAAATGGACTGATACATTATGGAAAACTGGTTCAACGTGCCAAGGAGCCTACTATCTCCTTGAAGAGGCTGAAAAACAACATGAGGACAAGAAACAAGTGGGAGAAAAACACTGAGTGGGAGAAAAAAACTGAGGAGACACAGACTGCCTAGGCAGGGATGAGAGGACACCTGGCAGGAAAGGAGATAAGGAAGTGAGTCTATAATTCCTAGAAACTGACAAATTACTTAATTGGATCAAACCCCATTACTGGCTTTAGTACATGCACTTAATTGCCGTGCTTATTTGGTGATGGGACTCAACTGTCCATGTTTCAAAGATAATGCTGAAAGTCTTTGTATTGTAAAAGATCTAATTGAAGCTTAATATGTTAAATTTAATGCAGTGCCTTCTGTGTTCAAAACACTGCATGAGCATAGCTATAGGACTTGAATATATGTTTCCATACTTAGAGTAGTCTATCATTTAAAATATTTACCATTTTCCAGCATGACGTTACTAAGGGCTTGACTCTGGAAAAGGCTGGCCCATGTAGTCTCAAATCAGGAACTCACTTAGGCACGATCTATCTGTAAAACTACAGGGAAACACATTGATTTCAATGAAGTTGGCCCACATGTAACTTGACACAGTGTTTTAAGGACCATGGATATTCAAAAGCTTATGCCATGTTAAAGTCTGGACATTAATTATTGTTAATACTGCATAGTTATTGTTTGTGTACTATACAACTTGTAATTTCAAAATTAACTTTTGAGCTATACTCAAAAGTGTTCTAAAATAGTTGATTTTTTTTAAGATGTGTAGTAGAGATTCCTCACTATTGCTACCTAAACATGAAGGTCTATACCAAAATTCAGAGGTGCACTCATATACTGATTGCTTTTATGAGATTTTACTCCAGATGGCTAGCAAATAGCAAGACTGTGTAAGGCAAAGGGTTATTAAAAAACTGAATAAATCAATAGGATGCACAGTTGAGAAATCAGTTGTCTGAAATCAGAATATTAAGTTCAATAGCAATAGATGAGCAGAAAATTTGGCTTTTTCAGAAATGTCAACACTCATCAGAGTCAGTTTATTTTTCCAGTCAATTTGGATAACATAGCATTAACATGACCGTATTGTAAGTAGCAATTACAAATATTTCGTCCGGATGCATAATTAGCTCAGGACTATGATTTTTTTTTTTTTTTCTGTAGCCAAATGATTTTGCTATTTATTTGGCAAGCAGGGTTTTTTTCCTGACGAACAACAGTAGTATTGAGATTAGTATGAAAACTGACAGGAAGATGAAGTGGGTTTGTTTCATTTATCCTGTCTTTTCCCTATTGCAGTAACTGCTGTACTTGCAATTTCTGCATGTTTTTTGGAGTATGACTATACATTTAACCCAGTAGCAAATTTTTGTCATAAATGTTATGACATTAATAGATTTGATGCTTTTTTCCAGCCAGTCTCCTTTTGTTCAATTTAATTCTGGGGGTAAACTTAAAGGGCTTTTTCTTGGGGAAACATTAAACATATAATTTGACTGTGGATCTAGTGAATAGTGATAACAACTCTGTAATTTCTGATCTTCTTCATTAAAATATCTTTTTAGTGCCGTTAATTCACTGAGGAGTCAGGGAAGTTATGGCAGTGCTTTTACAACAGCTTAAATGTAAGATTATTTTTTTTCTGCTTTTTAGGAAACCTACCTCTTCTGTAGAGTTACATATTAGTAATGAATTAATAGAAGTTATTCCAAGTTCAAATCCCTGCTCTCAGGCTGACATAGAAGGACCTCTTTTACCTATGAAGAATGTTTTTAAAGGAGAATCCACCCAAGACAAATATTTGAAGACTGACTATGCTACTGAATTTAAAGAACAATGGCAAGGTAAGGTGTTTAATTCAATGTTTTTTAACTTTTTGTGGAGTCAGCTTGCCAACTGAATATGAAGTCAACTTCCACAATTTTTTGAGCATGATCCATAGACATTGAAGAGACCATTTGGGTGATCACAGCCTTTGCAATTGCAGAAGTTGTAACGATTTAAGAGAGATTTATTCCCTGGAGAATCAGGACTTGTCTTGACAGTTCAAGATAGATGGAAGCCAAAAGAAGTTTCAGGCTGATCAAATATATGGCAGACAGTGACAAAAATATCACCATAAGTAGAACTTATCAGGCATTGATCAAAACGCTAATGATCCTTTGTACCTCAGTACATGCACTTAATTGCCATGCTTATTTGGTGATGGGACTCAACTGTCCATTCCTGTGGCATGTTCTCTTACTATGACAAGGAGGGAAAGAAGTAAGCAGTTTCTTCTTTGTTGCTGGGATGAAAATAGTTCAAATTGGATAGTGTTCCTACGGGTTTTCTGAAATTTTATGATTAGTAGTGCCCCAATAGATATAATGAATTCTGATCATAGAAAGTAAAATGTTGAGAAAGTGTTTGATTCAACTGTATTACCATTTTTTATTTTGAACTATCGGGTTTACTTTTTCAATAGGGTGTTGGGTTGGGGGTTTTTTTCTGTCAATTACATTACTTTAGAAAAGGAAAGTAATGTGATCATTTACGAAGAGCTTTTTTCCACAGTCACACAGAGGCAGCAGGTGGTTCTTGATACAATGTTGCACAAGATAACATTTATTAGGTACACAGCATCAACAATGCGAGTGTATTACAGTTAATAATTGAAAGACAGTAATCTTAATTAATCTGATTCAGTAATTACCTGATCTATTTTTTTTTTCAAAATTAGGTGGCATATGGCAGAAGGTTTCAATAATTAATAAAGCTCTCTACAGTATGTGCTTACAAAGAGAATAAAACTAATTCAGATGCTTTCATGTATCTTAGCTTTTACTTTGTTAGGAACAATGAAGAGAGCTAAATTTCCATGGACAGGAGTCTCTGAAAGAAAAAAAAATTATAAAATTCATAAAACATGTTATATATTTTGAAGTTACAGATTATTATTGTGCTTAAACAAACATAAATATGCAAGCTGAAGAGACTAGATTTTTATTTTTTTTATGGGAGTGTCCCGGTTTCAGCTGAGGTAGTTTTCTTCATAGTAGCTAGTATGGGGCTGTGTTTTGGATTTGTGCTGAACAACAGTATTGATAATATAGAGATGTTTTTGTTAAACAGAGATGTTTTTGTTACTGCTGAGCAGTGCTTACACAGAACCAAGGCCTTTTCTGCTCCTCACACCACCCTACCAGCGAGTGGGCTGGGGGTGCACAAGAAGGTGGGAGAGGACACAGCCAGGAGGACTGACCAAAGGGATATTCCATATACCATATAACGTCATGCTCAGCATATAAGGGGCTGGGGGAAGAGGAAGTGGGATGGGTGACATTCAGAGTGATGGTGTTTGTCTTCCCAAGTCACCGTTACGCGTGATGGAGCCCTGCTTTCTTGGAGATGGCTGAACAACTGCCTACAAATTCCTTGTCTTGCTTTGCTTTCGCACTCGGTTTTGCTTTACTTATGAAACTGTCTTTATCTCAACCCACAAGTTTTCTCAGTTTCACTTTTCCAGTTCTCTCCTCCATCTTGCCAGGGGAGGAGCGAGCAAGCAGCTGCGGGGTTCCTAGCTGCCAGTTGGGGTTAAATGACAACAGGGAGAACATTAAATTATTCACTGTTCTGGTGACTGGTTTATTGAATCAATAATTATCAATAATTATCTTTCAATGTGACCCATGTGTTACTGCCAACCTTTTTTCTAACTTTCTGTTTGCATAAAGAAGGAAATGTTAGCACAAGTCTGTTGACTATTAATTCTAACATTTTTAAAAGCTGCCCTTCTGAAAGGTTTGCAAGCTATTTTGTGTCTTGAGAACCTGCTAATAATGCCAGCTAGTCTGCTAACAGCACAAAACTGTCTAGGTTTCACTAAAAGCATGAAGATACATACAGACAATGCAAAAACATGGAAATTTACTGACGGATATGACATAATTATCTAACCCATATTGAAAAAAAATTAAGAAAGAACATGATGTAGGATTTGAAATGATCATTTAAAATCTGTTTTTCCAATAGAGGAAGGTTATATTTGAATTCTAAATAGCTTGTTTTATTACTCCATGAGTTTTTTTCCTACCAGCTTGTACATATTAAAATGTTCCATGGTTATTTCTGTTCATGTAACCCTGTTCTTACTTTCAGAAAACAAAATTAATTTCTTCAGTCATTTTACTTTTTGTTGTGTAATCTAAGAAATAATGCATATAATACTTAATAAGAGCTGTAGCATTTAAAGTTGTTTAAATTAAAAAAGATTCTAATAAGGTTGTGAAGTTTAGTGTAATAGGTTATGCACACATTTAAAATGTAGCTAGTAAATTATTACTGAAGTATAGCAGTGGAAAAAGGTAAGAAAGTTAAGACTTGTGAAATACGAAACACATTAAATGGAAAAGCTAAAAAACTTAATTTGGTTCAGTCAGTAACTGTAGAGTTCTAATCTTCTTCCCAATTACATTAGATTTATATCAGATTACAAACAAGTTTACAATATTTAGCATGCTGCTACTAGCCTTTCTGTTTTCCATAGGCTTTCTGTTATGAGAAAGAGGTCACAGAGGACTGACAACCATCTTTGTACCATTAAGCTGAAGAGCACTAACTTTACACTAGCGCATGATAGCACTGCCCGTGAAACTCCCATTCAAACATGAACTGAATATTTGCTCCCTGATTGATAAAGTACTTGAGCACATGCTTAAGCCTATTCTTTTTTTTCCTAAGGGCTTTGATGATCAGAAATTGCTGAAACAAAGTGATAATGCTGCATTCAAGTTACAATTCTGAAAAATAAGCATATTAAAATATGGAACTGCACTTCCTAAAATCACAAAGTGGCAACTCAGTTTAGTTTTGTATGGATTTCAAACACTGGCATTTGTGAATTTCAAACTCTACCTATCAGTCCATTTGTAAAACTCTGTGTTAGGAAAGCAGTTAGGTATGTGATTGCACCTGTTCTGCTTCAGGATGGCACTTCAATAAATGAGTAAGTGCATTCTCGCATAGGCATGCTTTTCCTGAGATGGGGACTAAGAAGTTGAATGTGTTAGAATTAACAAAGAAATACACTAATTAAAATATTTGAATCACATTACAATAATGAGATTAATTGGAAAACCCCTCCTTTTTTCATGCACTTTAAGTACTAGAGCCAGTTGCAATAAAAAGATACAATACAATTTAATATAATAAAAAAACCCTAGAGCTATAGCTAAATTGGGATAATAAATGCAAATGAAGGACAAAGTTGTGCCTTATTTGACTGGATTTAGTGTGAGGATATTAGAAGTTTTCCTGCTTTATTTGAACTAACAAAAATTAAATGAGATATTATTTAGGGATAGCATGATCAAGTTTATGTCATTGAAGCAGTCTGTATTTTCTGATTGATTTTAGCATCTAATTTTGCAACCACTATGTGCCTGATTATTGAGGTGCTTCCTACTTTGTTTTCCTGGTTGACTGAAGAAAAGAAGAATAATAGATCAGGGATTTTGTAAATTGTATCAGAAAGTATGTCTTTTTTTTTTTTTTTTTTTTTAATTGGAGGTATTTCAGGCTTTATAGGCTACTAGAAGCTTTAGTAGCCTCCCCTGACTTGTTCATCTCATTAAGCAGAGGCATTTTATAATGAAGCATTTATTTTTTATTGATAGATTTCTTTATGGGGATCTGTTTGTGTTTGTTAGCAGCATAAAACAGTTTTGGGGGAACATAATCAATATCTGTCATTTCCAGCCACTAGGAGGGAAGGCAGGTTTATTACAGGTAGGGAGTCATCCAGAGAGTGAAAGGTGGATGTGGGAATGAGAGGGCTTCTGTGTTGGTAAAAAATAGGGAACAAAGAACTCCCCTTTCCTTTCCATATGTATTATATATATATAATATCTGTGTGTGTGTATATATGCATATTATATTGCAAATATAAAGGATTGTATCAAATAAAGTTGTGATTACTGCATCAGTTCTGTCTCATGAAGAGTAGTAGTCTAAATGCAAAAGAAATGAAGGCCCATAATATCATCTTTCTTGAAATCATAATAACTTATAACCTGTATTTTTTGTCTGCTTGTTTTCTAAATAAATCTTTTGTTGCTTCAGAATTAGAGAGTACACTTTTAGGTTTATTTGCATATGGAGAGAACACCTCATTTCTACATTAAAAATTGCACTGAACTAAGTTTCTCAGCCAAAACCTACCTCAGAAGTTCCTTTATCATACTTTACAATGCAAACGAGGGAATGAAAACAAAGTGCTTTTTCTTTTTAACAGGTGTTATATAACACACACACACACACAAAAAAAAAAGAAAACCAAAGCTTATCACATGAACCATTGGAAGTCTAGACTTCTTTGCATTTAAAGCTTAAAAATCCTAAAATATTTAAAGTAAAGAGTAGTTATTGTTTTGCTGACATTTATAGCATTCCAACGGTTGCTTAACAATTCTCTTTATTCTGATAATTCTTATTATGTTTATATTCTTTGTTAATGTATTTTTTCTTATTTTTCTTCAGATTTATGTATGGAAGAGGAACTTGTTTTTATTGATAATCTTGAAAATTTTCATAAAAACCTACCTACTTCATCTGTACTTCTGAGCAGACTACATTTTTTTTTAGTGAAAGATCCCCTTTTAGATTCTGAAGGACAAAAATTAACAGAAGATGACATTTTCAGGTATCTACAAATTGTTGCATAATATTAAACATCATTAATAGTTTGTGTGTAATGCCATTAACATTTTAACATGTTCTGTTGTATGTTAACTTTTCAACTAATTTATATTTGCAACAAGGTAAAGACTTCAGCTTTTCTTATTTATGAAAAATGAAGATGGAATTTATATGCATTATTTAAGAAAACGGTATAAATGAAATTATGTCATTTTTATATTCTATAATGTGAAATGTGCTCAGGATTTTAGTTTTGGAATACAGAAAAAATGCCCACCTTTAAGGGACCTGGTCAATCCCTGACTGATTCCCTATCAGTAAAATGCCCTTAAACTTAGTTGAGCTAGGATTTTACACATGCTTCCATGTTTCTTCTTTCTTTCCTCTCAGTCATGCTATCAGTAAATCCATGCTCTTACCCTGCTGAATTATATTTCTTCAAGTTCAAATATTAATTATTCTTATGTTTTTGCTCAGTTTCATATTACTAGGTTGATTGAATTTAATTGAATGATGTCTTATGTCAGGAATTTGAACAAACTTGTACATTAAAACAGGTTTGAGTTATATTCAGAATGTGTCTAGTATTTTGTAAATATATACATCTGTATACATACATTCATAAAGTCTGGCTAAATTTTGCACTGGTTTACTCCATGTCTGGATGACTTCCATAGCTTCCTTTGCTCTTGATAGGGTTGCATGATTCACAAGCAAGGCAAAGCAGGTTTTAACTGATTTAATTGTACCTACATAGTAACAAAACAGGGAGGAATGGGGTTGTTTGCCTCTTTTTTCAAACGTGAGCCCTGATCTCACAGTGAGTCTTGGACATGACTTTGTGCACATGTGAGTGCTGTAAATATCCAGTGAAGAGAACGTGATCCAAATTCTGCAATGACTTTCAGAAATACCAGTCACAGGAGAAAAAATTGCCAGTGTGAATCTTTAAAGAAAGTTGCAGTTTACTAGCAAAGCCACCAGCCTTCTCAAGGTGGGAGTCCAAATCTCCTAATGGTGCACACATGGAGATGCATTTAGACAGAGATACAGTTAGACAGAATTCTATATAAGAAGTCTAGGTGTGGAACAATTTATACTCCTCAGTTTAAAGTATTCCTCCAGGAAAATAGTGGTGCCAGGGTCAGATGAGGAAGCTGTCCCCCTAAAAAGTCATTATAGATTTAGTGTCTGTAATGGCCACGAGGGCCAAGCCTGGTGAAAGATTTTCTTTCTGCTTGAAAAATATTCATCCCTGTTCTGCTTGTATATCCTCTCTTTACAAGGCAAGCAGTAGCCTTATTCCTGAGTTTTACTTCTTGGCAGTTTAAAAGTTTGTCAGTCAAACCAGAGAACAAACTATTAATTTTCATTTTAGTTAATAGTGAGCACACTCTGCCTGCTTTGGTGCTGAATGATTCCTGAAAATAGAAATGAAAGGTGACAAAAGATAAATAATATCAGTGTTATAGGTTACTGAAATTTTGTGTGTAGTAGAAAAACTTGACATTAGAAGAAAATTAGATCTGCAGCTTTTGCAGAAAGCATTTTTAGATGATGGGAGTTACATGTTGAGATGATGAACAATTTTAATACGGGGTTTTTTCTTGTAACTTTTTTAGGCAGGTCTCAATATTGTAGTTCTACTCTGCATATAATGTACTATTTCTTGAAAAATAATTTCAGTTAATTACACAGATTGGTACAGCATCCCTTGGAATTGCTTTCTTAGAAAAGCATGGTTTTAGAAAAAAATAACTTTTGCCACATATATGGCTATCAAAGCTACTGCTAAGACTTTCAGTCTGAGATATGAAGTAATACAAAGTCACTTGCTTTATTTTATGATCTTTTAAAGGGAATGTTTGACTTTCCAAAATGAAATGGAGATGCAAGAGTGTAAAAACGAGTTGCAGGGGATTAAAGAGAACTTCTATACCATATCTGTAAAAGACGAAGAGGTATCATTGTGTTGTTTCTTACTAATTATTATATTAGTGATATATAGTATGCTATGCATAAGTGTTTGTTCATCTGCAAGTCATTTTATTGAATTCTTTCCATATTTGCCAAATATTTGTAGCCTTCATATTTCCAAAATTAGAAAACACTGGTATTATTTGTGGTTTTTTAATTCTTGGATGCTGTTATTGGGAATCTCCACTCTGATGAGCTGTTTCTCCTGGGACCTGATGTGTTTGCAGTTTTATGTAGGTACTGTTACACTAAGAATAAAAATGAACAGGAAGCCATGACATGTGCATGGAAAAGGGAAAGTTCCAAGACGTGTTCTGGGATTTGGGGGGCCAATTTGGCTTCTTTTTTTAAACGAAATCAAATATATTTTTGCTCCGCTTTTTCAAAATTCTAGAAAGCAAACTTTCAATGAAATAAAAGGAGATTTTACTCAATTTGGAACTGTAAATTCAGATCCAATCTTTATACTCCACTGACTCAATTTGAAATACTATAACGCTATTTTTTCCCTGTATTGAGCAAAGCTTTTTGTATGCTGTGTAAATGTCATGACTTCTTTCTTAAAAGCTTTTAGAATGATTTAGAATTAAGCTATTTCAAGAAAAAGCTTTGAAAAAGCTTTAACTATACAGTAACATCAAAGGAAATTTACATACCACTCTGCTGTGCATAATATTTTTCAGTATTTCATGTTGCCTATTGAGTCAGAATTCTGCAACCCCAGCAATGACAGATCAAATTCTGTTAGGATTCCATCATACCTGCAACTGAAGGAGCTGTTAAATTTAGCTCCAGAAACTGTGGCTGATGAAGACATGTTCAAAGAGGTGATCAAAGAAGGTGAGGGTTAGTTTTCTTAAATGCTTAACTTGATTTTCCTTTCATTTGCACACATTTTACACAATCTAGCTCTTTTATATTCAGTTCACTTACGAATTACATCACAGCCTATCAATTGAGATTTTTTCTGTATAAGACTATGAACTATGCTATACCCAAATTTCTGAGTATTAGAAGTGTCATTCGCTATTTGGTTCAATCCATGGTTGTGTTAAAGTCTTGGAAATAAATGCAGCATGAGCCGTGATTCATGATATCCAGTCTACCATGAACATAATAATTTAGTGTTATGTTTTCTTATCTGTAATTAAATTTGCTTTCAGAGACATCTGTAAGAAGATTATATGCAGTACAGTCATACTGCAAAAATTGCTTGTATTACATTGTAATTGCAAACATGAAAGCAGATTTCTGGGAAAAAAAGGGTTAAATATTTCCATGGATAACAGAAATATTCTAAATGACAGTAGTAATTTCTTTACAGGAATTTAAGAAAAATTACTAAATGCTTTTCTACTACAGATAAGTACAACTTTAATAGTTATTGGCTATTGGATTGATATCTGTGACAGTATTTTGTGTAGTTAAAAGCAAAAGACAGTGCCTGAGATTTTTTTAATTTGGATTTAAAAACCCCCCAATTTGCATTGATTTTGGCAAACAAGTGAGGAAAACCACTTCTTTGGTAGACAGGAGGTAGTCCAAAGAAGTCAAGAAAAGATTCTTGATTCTGAGTGGGGAGTGTGTGTGCTGAATTCTGTTTCTGATAAGAGAACTGTTTGGAGTAATCCAATCTCTTATTGAATATAGGAACAAAACTTTTAAAACTATATATTTGACTAAGGCAGTTTCATGTGCATTCCTCTGATACATTTACTACATCACAACCTACATGCCATGTTCCAAGCTGAGTGACCTAACTTCCACTGCAGAGGTTTGAGGATTTTGTACATAAACGTCAACCTATTACTGTTTTTTGTTCTGTTTTAGTCCTTTTTAGCCACAAGAGAATCTACATACACAAACTCCTGGTAAATTACACTTAGGCTACCTACTTGTTCCAGAAATTACATCACAGTAGTCATAAGAACTTTGAATAGTTCAGATAGTGACTATACTATAGCAATAAAAAGGTTGAAAGAAAAAAAAATCGAATAAATGGTTCATTTATGGCACCTTTTAAAATGTGTTTTCAGATCTGAAAGCGGAAATTACATACGAAACAGAAATTTCCAAGTACTGTCCCATACCACAAGAAGCTTGCTCCAGTAATCGCAAAAGTATGTTGGAATTCTGTGAGTCAGGTAGGAAGATCTACATAAATCAAGGGGTGACATTTAAAATAAGATCTTCAAGTGATTGTCCCCGTATTCTGTTCTTGGGATTACATGCACCATATAGATATATGAACATTAGTTTTGTGTAATCTACTATTTTGTACCTGCAAGGTAAGCAGATAGAAGTGCCATACTCCTTTCCTGTTGTTTCCTTCATGTTGCTTTTGGCTGCAGGTGTTGTCTGTATCTTTTGCACTTGATTAGCTTTTTAGATTTTTTAAATCTAATGACTTACCCACCCAGAGAGGGCAGAGAAAAGTTAAGGCAGATTGATTAAAATTGATGAGTCAAAGAGCACAGTTTAAAATTTGTTGAAGTCTTACTTAAATGCTCTCAAAAGAGGGTGATGGAGGACAATCCACAGAGAAGTACTGAGTTTATAACTTCTAGAGGTTCAAAACTCCGGTGCAGACATTTCATTTTGCAAATGGTTCAGTAATGCTGTGTGATCGAGAAATTAAGTCACATAGTCACCACAGCTGTTTTCCACAGAAATGAACTGGAAGTGTAGAATATTTGCTAATGTGTGCATTGAATCCTGGCTTCTCCTACACTGGCATCAGAAAATCCTTGATAGGTACCCATCTTTAATAGTTTGAAAACTCAGTGAGGCAATGCTGGTTACAATGCATACCAATGTCAGACAGATTTGGTGTCTAACTGTTCAGACTAACTATCCAACCTTCTTTAAAATTGCATCGGGTTCCAGGTGTAATCTCTCAAAGTAATGGATATTCTTGCCAGCCCTACTGTTTTTTTAGCTTAATGTTGACTAGCTAAGAGAGGCAGAAAAATGGCTATGCTAGCGACATTTTTCACCTTTAATTTCACACAGGAAAGCCTGTGGAAAGAGTAGCATTTACAAATGGATGTGATCTGGGCAGAGTGGCAATACTTGAATAAACATGTACCTGTCATTCTAAGGTATATGCTATATTGGAAAAGTCTGTCCATTTTTGCATTGGACAGAACCAGTATTATCCTCCAGTGCATGTTCACTGATAGTTTTCCATCCAGCAGTTAACTAAAATCCTTGAGAAATTTTGAGTTTTCTCCAGACTTTTCTTGTCTTAGTTTGCGTATGATTTAAACTGGACTAATGTTTGTCCCCTTTGGGCTAATAGCATCACACTCCTGATATTGTATTGTAGTGGGCTTTTGACGGGACCTATCATATCAACTCAAAGTGTCTCGTAAAAAAGCTCAAGGCAAATCCACCATATGTTGTCCCACCAAGACAAAGTTAAACTTAGTTTCCATCTGGAGATTATTGCCTAGCATGATTAAGTGATATCTGAATCTAGTGACCTATCTGACTGTTCTTCACTTCTAAAGCTGATGATAAGCAGAAGGAGCTTACGTGTAGTAGATGTGAGCAGTTTGGGACCCTCCTCCCTTGTAAATAACATGTTGACTATGATCTTATCTAGGATATTGTCCATTCCTCTGGAGTAGATGAGTCAGTAAAGCATCTTGAATTGTTTTTAAAATAAAGTGATAGCATTAATCTTTATTACCAGTTTGGTGGCTTAGCTCAGGCAAGATTCAATCATTGGGGCACAGACAGCTTCCATGTCATTTTTTTTAATTTTTTTTTTTAAGGATATACTCAGATCTGCAGGATAGAGACCTGCAAACCTGTACATGCACTGCTAAGACACTGTTTGATAATTAAAGTTCGTGCATATGGTATCAAATTTCAGGAGAAATACCCTACAATCTTCTTCTAATTAATTTTGCTATTTGAGTTACCAGGAGTTAAATATGTTTGTTTGAACTCAGAGAAGAAAGAATTGTTTATTGATAAAGGGGTTGAGGGACAAGATAATTCATTCTGTCGTTAAAGCTCTGAGAAAGAGAATGGCAGCCTGAGCATAGGCAGAGTTTATCTAATATAGCAGGTCAAAATGTTCCAGTCTCAAAGGCAAAAGTAACTAGGCAGAATTAATATGAGCAGTATTGCTCAAAGAGAAATAATTGTTCTTCTTAGATATGTCAGGAATTTCTGCTGTACTGAGATCAACTCCTGTCCTGTTGCTACATTTATTTCTCCCCACAAAATAAGTTTGTGAGCTGAAGTTCACAGCAGTTGTTCATTGACCTTTTTTGCTCTAAGTAAAAGGGAAAGAAATTATACTGATTAGAAGTCTGTTTCTTACTTTTGTAACCACTTTTATTTCTCCCCCCCCCCCCCCCAATGTGTACTGTATATTCTCTGGCTTTCCAATACTGTTCTTTATCTTTCCTGCTGTACAATCTGCTTGTTAGTTTGGACGAGGAGCAGCTGTAAGCAGCTGGGCAGGTGGCTGATTCATAGCCTGCTGTGTGCCAGTTGGCCAAACAATGTGTGAATGGTGATTGCAGCTGCTTACTGCCTGTTGAAATGAATAGGGAATTTGTTACAAGTGTTTTTCTTTATGGAGGCACTAATTTACTTAGAATTTTTCTGGCTGTTATTTTTCTCAGAACATGGAGAAACTGGTTTTTTATGACCTCTACTTTCTGATCGAGCTTAATGAGAAATATTATTAGAAGAATGCCAGATAGATGAACACCAGGGCAATTGTGTAAACCAATTTTTATGGAATGACACCAAAATCAATGAAGTTACAAATTCCTTATTAGATTTGAATAAAAAGCAATAATCCATTAAAAAGTCCACATTCAATATGATTGGCAGAAAAAAAGCATGTGAAAAGTGACTTGCAGGGGACTTTCAATATGTCAGGTTTGTTTGTATTCCGCTTAAAAAAACCTGGTGGTATAATTAATTTTGGTGGTCATGCCTAGAAATTACATTGACTACTAATTCTGCTTGAAAGAGTAATTTTATCTTTAAAATCCTGTTTCTGAACTTCCTGAGTCCATTCATCAGAATGTTACAGCCACCACAATATTGTCTGAAGTCTCTCATCTAATTAACTTAATTTATGTGGAAACTATCTAAGGAGGCCAAGAGGGATGAACACTTAATATCAAAACCTCAGCCATAGTGCCTAATGATTTAGTCATAAAAATCATCTTACATGGTAAGAGTATGTAGCCAGAACTACATAACAGAATGAGTAAAGGAATGTGATCTATACAGTATTATCCCCAAACTGGCTGGAAATTAAATGTGAAGTATTTGGGGTTTATTGATTAAATAGTGAATTGTCCCATGAAAATATTTTGTATTTTAATCCAAAATTTCCTTAGTGTAAAATTCCTAAATACATGTGTTTCATTGACAAGTAACTTTGTAATTTGGATTTTTTTGTTTGTTTCTTTGTTTTTTTTGTTTTGGGTGGGGCTTTATGCAATTTCTAGCCAAATATGTTCCATATCTGAAAGACAAAATGGAAGTACCTTTAACTCCACCATGCAGACAACAAAGATCATGGGTTAATTTTCTGTGCATAGGACTTCAGGAAGAACCTATTCCTATTTCTGATAACAGGTAGTGAAAACGTTGTAGAAATAAATCCTGTCTTAAATCCTCTAAATCATAAATCCTGAAAATTAGTGCAAAAATAACTTTAGTCTATTTGTAAATTGGTAGTTATATTCTTTGAGACAGCTGCAAATATTTTGTGTGAAAGAATGAACAGAGTGCATGATCCATATCTGTGGCTTTTCAGGGGAGCTTGAAAAAGGAAATGACAGTCGCAACTGTAGATTTCTTTTTCCTGGAGGACTTAATAGCCTGAAAATCCAATCTCCTTTTTGGAATAGGCAGCAGTAAATATTTATGTGTATAGCAAGTATGTATGTGTGTATATACATATATTTATACACATGGCAAACACACCTATTGAGCAAGTATCACCTGCAAAATCTCCGAAAGAGATACAGAAAGTATTGTCTGTGTTTTGGGGATATCCCCCAACAATGGAATTAAAACCTTTTCATGCTGACATAGGATCAGGATTGCTTCATCTTTTAATTCTCATCTTATTTGCAAGACTAGCATTTTTTGCCTTGCTATCTTTCTCACATATGCATGAAGAATTTAAATATCCTTTTGGGGAGGGAACCACAATCTGGATAGAATTTTCATTCACTGCTGCTTTACTTTGTGAACCAGCCTTGATGGCTTCTCTCACTCCTTCCTGTTCACTGTGGTTTTGCATGAAATGACCCTCTATATGGACAAGAAAAAAATTTAATGAATGAGTGAATGAATGGATGAACTGAAAATTTAGAGATAAAGTAGATCCTTAAAAGGTAGTTGTGTGTAAATCAAAATTCATCAGATAATGCTGTTAAATTTCATACCTCCAAGTCTTGTTTTATTTTCTTCTTAGTATTTTGATTACAGAGCCCTCTAGGGAATACTTGGAACGTTTGATTTGGCAGTCAGAGAAGTATCGGGATAATATGAACGCTCTTTTGCTTGTTGGTAAGGACTTCTAACTGATGATCAATTTGTAATTGATGTTGAAGAGTTCCATGTTCATGGAGAAACTATAGCAAAAAAGATAATGTTATATTACAGAGCACATCTTTTGAGCCATTGAAGTTTATCCAGTTAATGTAACCCTCTGAAGTCTGGATTATCTGATTCTTTTAGTACATATAAAAAGTTAAGTATGGCAACATAGAAGTTGGTATGTCATGTATCCTTATATGGAGGTAATTTGAATGAAGTAAGAGTTTTATTTCATGATGAAAATGTTCAACTCACTACTAGTAATTATATTCAGTAACTGTGGTAATTGAAATTTAGTAATCTGTAAAACTCTTTCTGTGTGCTATTTTTCCTTAAATAATGTTTCAAAATGTGTATTGATCAATAGAAAAATACTGTTAATAAAAAGTAATAACTTGACAAGAGCAGAGTTCATGTTAGGAAGCAAAATATACAAAATCATTTATTGCTGATATTTTTGACAGCACCAGAATACTCATTACCACTGTTCTTTCATTTAATTTGCCTTCATTTTACAAGTCTCAGGATTAAATTATGTATATGGACTTGTTACATTGTCCAATTCATTTGTGCATTCATTTATAGTTTAAAATAATGTATGGAAGGTTTATTACTATTTAAGTACTTTTTTTTTTTCAGGTAAGGATTATGTTAAGTCTTTGTAAGCATGACAAATAAATCCACAGATAGTGAACAAGACATTTGTAAATTTAGAAATGCAGCTACACATTATTATATCTGAAAAAAAATTACACACACCCACCCTATACACTCAATAAGTAAAAAGCACACTTGCTCTGATAACACTAACTGCTTTACTCTTAAGTCTATTAAGAGTTACAAATGGAAGTATAAACAATGGCTATATGTAGTAGGTCATCAGTAGTTGGGAACTTTCATTTCCAAAATAACATTCAGTTTTCATGTTTCTAGATTATTAATATTATATGTTGATTTCTGGTTTTTGTAGAGCATGAGACTGTTAATCTTGTATATCAGCGACATTCACTTACAGAACTGAAGGAATTGCTACCACTTGAGGTAGAACCACCAATGCTTGGCTCACTAGAGGAGGGCTGGTGGCTTCATTTGGGTTTAAATCCAGTCTCCATAGAAACTTTGGAGCAATTAAATATGGATGTCAGTAATACAAACAGTTTGGTTCCTACAGAAATAGAAACATTCACGCGATTTACATCATATCAGTTAGAAAGTAAGTATCTTCTTTTTTTTAAAAAAAGTGATAAAAAGGCAAAGCTAGATACTTTAACAGAAAATCACACAATGACAGTTACATACCTTCCAAGAAGGAAGGAAATGGAAGATTTCTTATTCTCAAGAACAAAATGTTTTATAGCAATATGAAGGAGCAACACTACTATGATTAAAGTGTACTTTCACAACCTTAGAACAAATTGTAGGAACAGAAGTATTTAATTACACAAAGTTATCTTTTCTATTAATGTACAGATGAAAAGTAGCCTCCACCAGCCATACTATTTTTTAATAAAGTAGTTTCATACAGGAGAATTTCTTAACAAATAATAATTTTACACTGGAATATTTTAATAAAGCAGACATTTGTATAGTCCTATCTGCAGAAGGTCAGTGAGGAGTGTATGTTACAGTGAAAATTCTTTATTTTGTGATGCTGTTCAGAGGAGGTTATTTTCATGCTGGCTATGGTTTCAGATGTGAGCCACTCCTAAACTTTGGAATTTCTCATAGACCATTATGCATACTTATAATCAAAGTTTAACAGAACATGCAAAAAATTATTTAGATTTTATGATATATTTATGGCCTGACTGCAAGGCACCAGTTGTAGTTGTAGAACTCCAAGGATGGACAGTAACATGATGTATCATGAAACAAATTGGCACTGCTCAGGAAAGAACGTTTCCACTTAACTGCTTTTTACATATCTCAGTGTTTACCTACTATGTTTAACATAGATGTACAGCAGCAATGCAAAAAATTGCAGTTCTACCTAAGCACATCTTTAGAGGGAGCTAATTGCATGCTTTACTCTTTTTTTTCCCTCTTAAAAAATCTGCTAATCTTTTAATCTTTCTTCCTAATGAAGTGTGTTGCATCCCACTTCCTAGAAATCTTACACCAGTAAGCACCATGGAGATGGTGAAAACTTCTCCAAACAGTAGCATGGTCTTCTGTTTCTCAATATTGTACATTTCTACTTAGGACTACTCAGTACAAATTTTCTAAAAGTGGACTCTTCTAAGGCAGGAGAAGAAATAAAAAAATGCTTTCTCTACAATTATCCGAAACAGTTAACTCTAACCAGGAGGAAGAAAAGGTAAAATCTATGTTGCAGTGGAAAAATTAAATTTTATTTTTTAGGATGGCTTGAAGAGAAGAATTCCATGACAAACCAGGAGCTGCTTTCTGCTGAAAGACATCAGCCAGACAAAGTAATTAATCTTTACATGTTACCACAGACTCAAAGGCAGCACTTTGCCCTGCATATGAGTGCTGCATCATCTGACAAAATTAACAGTTCAGATACATCTGTGGAAGAGCTTACTGGAGGAAGCATAAAAAATAATAAGGTAGAAGAGGCAATTTATTTCTTAAACCAAGAAAAGAAAACTTTCAAATCATCTGAATCAGTCAGCTGTAAAGATGTGTCTTGTAAACAAGACAACTCATCCAATAGTCAAAAACCCGCATCATTTGCACTTGCTACAAAATGGGACAATGATGATTCTGATCTTAACAACTTTATCATGCTGAGATCTAAACATACACTCAGCCATAGAGAGGAAAAAAATTATGTAGATAGTCCTGAAAAAGGTATGTGAACCATTTTATTCTGCCATTTTTTCCAGGGTCTAATTCTGCTCTCTTATACCAATTGCAATAGATGCTAATTCATGCTAGCATTTATGGGGAAAAAATCCTTTAAAGCCAATGATAAGATTTTTATGATCTTTAAAATAGTTGAATTTTTCAATGTTTGGCTTTTCCTTTAGATATCTTGGGAGATTTTGTTTGTTTGGAGGAGGGAGTGATTTGGTTTTGGTTTTGGGGTGTTTTTTTGGTGGTGGAAGTGGGTTTTAATAAAATAAACATATGAGTTTATTCGTGTTCTGGCAAAGTAACTCTATATGGTACTTACTCCAGAAGATCTCTTCTGTCCATGTGTTCTGAATCAGATCTCCTGGCCTCTTTGGAGAGATAGTAGTTATCAATTGTACTTATGAAATTAATTGTAGTTATCAAATAGTAATTATCAATACTCTTATTTTTGTAGCCTAGACAATGAAAGAGACTTAAAGTTCTTCTCTGGAAAGAACTGTTTGAGCCAGTTACCTTGGTGTAAACACCATGGAACAATGAGGCAGAACTGGTCTTAGGGAAAACAGAAGGTTGTTGGTATCCTTGTTATCGATGATGACAATGCTAATGAAAGAATCTCAGGCTATGTGTTGATCATTACAGAAATGCAAAATAGCGGAGGGGGAAAAGAAGTGGAAGTCCTTCTTTGTTTTAAAAAAGAAACATTTGTGACACAAAATATCAGGAGACAGTGACATACTTCCAGATAAATTTTTCAGGATAAAGTTGCATTTAAAAAGAATATTTTTCATTTTTTGGACTTGTATGGCAGAACTTTGACAATAACTTTTATCTGTGTTTCAGTTATATGTCTCAGCATAAAAAAATATTAAAATTGTTACCTAAAAGCTTTCAGCAATAATTCCTATGGAATAGCATTGAGATATTTAATTGCAAACTTATGTAATCTTGTGGATGAAATTATTTCTTTGTAGATTAATCTGTTACTGACACTTGTAGACATGCATACAACTCTTCCATGGCCTCAGAAAGCAACAATCCCAATTTTAAAAGTAGGAGGTCAAGGTACCTGAACTAAAGTTTTATGCTACCATCTAGTGAACTCTGACTAGAACTGCATCTTCTAACAAGAAATCCCAATGTGGTGAAGACAAACTATATTACATTTACAAATAAGCCTGTGAAGGTTTAAATAAGTTAATTGCGGTTTAGAATATGTTTACAGGTAGACCCCAGTGTTGCAAACCAGTAATGTCTGATATATGGAGAATCCATTGAAATGTAAATTATTATATACTTCCGTAATAATGAAAAGTTTTTATTAAGGGTCATTCTAAATTTAGTTGAAAATAAGAAATGCCAGCACAGCTTGTAGAGCTCTTTATTGTCTTTGTTGTTTGGCTTATTTTTTAAAGATGTCATTGTGTGTAACATTTAGTTCAGAAAATACACATGAAGTAGTAGAAACAGTTCATTGATCCAATTTTGAACCCTGTATAGCTTTTCAAAATCAGGAAAGTTTTTTTAACTTAACTAGAAAAAAAAATTAGTTTTTTCTTTTCTGTACAATCAGTTTGTTTTCTGAGGAAACTGACATTCTTAACTAGGAAAAAATCAGCAATATTTAGGAGACACCTCTTCAGGCAGAACCTCTCTCAGAAACAAAGAGGTAGAGCTGCCAAAGGAAGCTTTGTGGGCAGAAGCTGTAGCTCACGCATCAGTATTTATAAGGAAGAAAGGAAGGAGACTTAGAAATACTAACAAGTTGCAGAAGATAGCTATAACACAGGAGATAAAGTTCTTTTCAACAATCATTTTTTATTATTTTTTTCCTGCCATTTGCAGCTTCCATATACTTTCTGGATCACTTACAGTATCTAGCTGTTTCTACTCATACTCACTCAGATATTTTTCATGTTTTGGGCTCCTTTTAATCAGCAGCATCTTTCTTCTCATAGATGTCTTTCCTCCATATAAAGGCATATGAGCTTTCCTTTGAAGCTGTATTACAGAGCTATAGTACCAGCTCCTTAATTTTTCCAGCTCTGAATTTCTGCCCTAAGGAAGAGGAAGCTGATATTACCTGACTCCTTGGGTTGTGAAGGCAGACAGAGCCTCATCTCTTTCTGTGTCTCAATGTTTTTTCCATACGATATGAGCCCATGAAAACAATAAAGAAGTTCATGAAGAGAAAATGTATGAGTCATGGAAACTACTTAATATGACAATATTTTTGCATGTGGAATCATTTATAGAATAGTTTTCTTATTCATTGAGCTGTTTTTGTGCTATTTGTATCTAAATATTCACTTGTGGTTTAATGATTTAGTGCTACAACCTGAAGAACAGCATATGCATATTCACGAAGAGGACAGTTCTGTTTGTGAGACTGTAAGAATAGAGGAAAAAGAACAAGAGAATGAGCATAGTGTCACAGTCAATATCAAAGCATCAGGTATACTATTTTTGGATGTGCTTTATTTTATATAGTTTTGCAATATAATTTTTATATTAAATAGTACCACTCAGACAACTATGGAAGTTATTAGGCTTAGTGTCTACTCCTTGTGACTGAAAACATTCCAAATAGACGGATATTTATTTAGATAAAGGTGTGAGAGCAGGCTATGGAATTCTGTCTTAAGACTAAAGCCAATTGCATGCAAACTAAAAAGTATAGACTTCAAGTTCTGTCTGATCTTAATCAGCAGGCATGAAATCTCTTCAAGCCAATCAGTACCCTCAAATTATTATTCTACATTTTTTTCTCTAACAGAGTAAATGAGAGAATTAGAGACAGAAGGGATTGGTAGTCCTTTTGGCAGAAAATGTCTTTAACACAGTATTAATCCACTATGGATTTATCTCATACATGACGGCCTTACCCTGTGAACTCTTGCTCTTGTACTTTTCAAGGCATTGTATCAAAGAATATAAACTGACAACAATTTAGTCTTGCAGTAGAAATAGTGGAGAAGAACCTAGAAGATATTTATCCAAGATATTTTACACCCTCAAATTAAGCACACCCAGTACTAGAAAGTTGTGGGCCTAGCACAAATTGTTTTTATTTTCCATGGAAATGCCTTCACTCTAACCATGTGCTTAATGGGAGTCTCTTTCACGGAACTAGTGAAAGAGTAGAGCAGTATTTTCATCTGTTCCCATCTGGGATGGGCATCAAGTAACAGCTATAAGCTTTTTTTAAATTATTTTTTAAAATAAATTTTGAAGCAAGACTCCTTTATTGCAACTGGGAAAAAAATTAAAGCTTTTCTGCAATCAAAACCAGAATTAGCATTTTGCAAAGGTAGTATTTGTTGGGACTGAATGTCCTATTGCACTCCTTGAAATAAAGTGTGTTTCACCATGGTGGCTTTGCACAGGAAGGAGAGGAATGTTTCTCAAAACCAAACTAAAGGCAAAACAGAGATTAGAAAGATTCACACAAGTACTTTACTCAACAGTGGAACATTGAAGATGCATGATTAGAAATACACTTTAAAAAAAAAATTAGTACAGGATTGCCTGAATGAAATTATACAATGGGCATCCACAATACTATAGTATCTGACCTATTTCCATAAAGGCTGGAAAAACTGGACATAATAGCATATCTTTTTTTTAGAATGCTTAAAAAATATCATGTTATTAATTGCTGTTATGAAATAGTGCATTGATCAGCTGCAAGTCAAATTATTTGTACAGATCAGTTGAAAATATTTTTGAAAAGTAATAGTAAATCTTTTAAAATGAATAATCATGGAGTTCTAATCTTGTTGATGTGATTAACTCAACTATAGATTTAAAAAAGTATGAGTATGGAAGAGTTTCACCTTGTCTGAGGAAAAGGGCATCCCTTTCAACTCATTCAGCAATTGACAGCTCTGTCATGGATGCTCATAGCAAGAAACTCAGTTGTAATTTGGAAAGAATTGTAAAATAGCCACCCAGAAGCTATTCAGAACTGTTATTATGAAAGAACAAAGAGACTAACAGACTGGCTTATTTAGCCTTGCTAGACAAAGACATTAGAAGTTAATTACCAGGGAAGACGAAGAGCTGTTTAAGATGAAGTTATAGTAACAAGTGGATATAAAGGGACTAAGTCTCAGTTTAGACTACAAAGTAGAAGAAGGCTGTAGAACAATGGAATAATAGCACAATCTTAGTGGGAGTCACAAAAGTAGAAAATCCTAACTTTTCATTATAGAGTTTGATCACTTTATGAAATGTATGGAATAACATGGTTGTCTGCTGAGGAGCAGCTTGATTCTACCACCCAGGAGGCTCACTGGCGAGCAACTGTTTTTCTGTTAATGTTACAGCTTTCGTGAAGAAGAGAGTGTTCTTTGTGTTTTGCTAGGTCTTTTGAATAGTCTTGTTCAGTAGTAGTGTATGAAACCAAATTTTATATTTTCTTTATTGTGCTATCCAGAAAGCCAATGCCAGGCATACTGCCTCTTGGAAGAAGCAGCCACTCCTGTTCTAAAAGATTTGACACATCTGGGTGTACTTGCTTCTGTAAATTGGAGCTTTGACAGCATTAAATTTGATCACACAAGGTTTTTCTTAAAACAGCAGGAGAAAGTCATATGCGATCGTTTTAAAGAAGGTATATCTTTTTAAAAAAAATGTTTTTTTTCATCTTAAATACTGATATGGGTTTAATTGGTGACATAAAATTCAGGATATTTGATAAATTAATGATAAATCTTTCAGCAGTTTATCTTGTAGAGTTACAGTAATTGACTTACTCTTTTATTTTCAAAGTAATGTCTCCTAGTTGTTCAGCATTAATTTATTAACCTGAATATTGTAATACAAAAAAATACTAATTTAATTTCATTTTAAAATATTTGTATATGGCTCAGAAATATTTCTTCTATATCAAACAATGTTTAAATTATTTTTTTCATGTTAGATTTTAAAATTAAAAGCTGTCTATGTGTTTTTGTTGTTTTGCTCCTTTTAGTAGATATTGTTTGTCACACCTGCAGGATGAAAAATGCCAAGCCTACATTAGAAATGAGGAGAAAAAAATCCATATTAATTTTGTTTCTTTCTGATTTCATTTCTCTCCTATGTGGCATGTGAAAACCAAATAGAAACAGAAACAATGAAAACCGAAGCCAGCAAAACCAGTGACCTCTTACAAAGATTTTGGCTATAGATAAAGAGAGGGGCAGGAAAAACTCACAGCAAAATACAGATTGTGTTTGAGGAAGATATATTTTGGATAATTTTTTTTGCGTTTTTGCTTATAATTAAATCCAAAACGTATCCCCACACTAGTTACTATGAAGAAAAAATCAATCCTCTCAGCTGAAACCAGGACAAATTGAGTACTACTTGTAAGGATAACATAGCAGGCTGCCTACTACCTATGAAGATTTTATATTATGTCACAAGTTATGCGATAAACTTTTAGCTATCTAAACTTCATTGCTTTCTGTGCTTAATGTATTTTTCTCAAAAGAAAACTAATGATAATGAAATTACCAATGAGAGAGAAGGCAAACAAAAAAAATGTTAGTGGTCTCTGCACTAGAATGACGGCCTGTGATCTATAGAATTACCATATTAAAATTGTCAGCAGCAGGGTTCTCTTAATTTGAGGGAGCTTACAAGAAAGCAAGCAACATCTTTATAAACATGAGGGAAAAACTCAGTATCTGTATCAGTCAATCACAGAAAAGAAAACATTACTGAGAAAAGTATACAGAGAAATACTACTGCTCAAGATCAAGGAGAAAAATATTTTTAAGAGTGCATTTTAATTCATTATTAGTTTAAGAAGAATTATATCCTTTCAAATCAAGTTTACATGCTGTAGAAATGTTTCCTAAAGTAGGAGCTGGGCCTATTCAAACTTCAAGGCCCTCTTTGCTTGCAAATTAGCTGTGCAGTATATTGCCAATTGCTAAAATTAGAGCAATTAAATCAATGAAACTATTTAGTGGCTGAAATACTGACGAGGCAAATAGTCATCATCTGGACCTTCCTTTTAAGGGCAAGTGTTTTCTGAGGAATGGATAATATTTACCCATCCCTTGTTATAAAAAATAACTGTTTGTTGAACACAAAATTGACCCATGTAATAAGTGAATCTTTGGACTACAGATGAAGGAAAGCAGTAAAAGCTTTTTGCTCTTAATTTAGAATACCGGAAAAAAGTCAGGTTGATTTAGCTACCATTGTCTGGATGAAGAGACAGAAAAGTGCAAAGGAAGTCTTCCATTTTGCCCCCAACTAAAGAAGCAGAAGGAGATAAGAATTTTCTTCCTGGAAGGTCCATAGAAACATAGAAATGAGGAAAACTAACATGGCCAATTCATTCCTAATAAATATTTCTCTAACTCTATAGGAGATTCCAAAACCTCCCTGGTAACTTACTTCACTCTTTTATTACCTTCCCCATTTTAAATAGTTTCACAATATCTAATCTCATTCTGTTTTATTCAGAGTATGCTGATGCATTTTCTGATTAATTCCCCAGTGAGCATAGAAAACAATGACTTATTATGATGGTATTGATCTATTCGAAGATTATTTTTTCCTGTACTGCTCTTTTCTTTCTGCACCAAATATCACCAAGTGCTCCAGTCTTTCACCATAATATGCAGTTTCTTACTGTCTTGCTTTGTTTCTAAATGACCTGTATTCCTCACTGAATTTTTATGGTGAGTGGTGTCAAGAACTGGACATAGTCCTCCAGTTTCAGCACCTTCACTGACAGAGATAACAGTCACTTTCTGTCTTTTGATACAGAATAGTGGCAAGATCTTTGTCTTCCATGCTGTTTCCAGATAATTCTTCTGTATGCTGTGTTTGTAAATTTGATTTTTCCTTCCTATGTGCTTTACTTGTCTTTTTGAATTAAAAGCTATGTTGATCCCAGTACATAGAACTATCTAATATTTTTCTAGTATAATGCATCTCATTCAGTAATTTCTTGATCAGCTGTAATAATTTATTCTTTAATTATCTTCCTTAAGCATTTTTTAGCATCCTGAAGTATTTTATTAAGTCAACTTACTCTGCAGCAATCACATCTTTCTTTTAATATAATGAACTACACCACCTCCCTGTGTGCAATTCCAAAAAATGCCTTTCTTCTTCAGACCAGTAATTCCTTCCTATTCAGTTGAGTCCTTGAAGATTTATTCAAAATGGGTACATAATACAGAATAGGCAGCCCATAAAATGTTTGATTTACTCTGTGGGTCCAAGAAGAAGCAGATGTCCTCCAAATTTACCTTCTCAAAGAAGGTTAAGAATCTCATCATGAGAGGTTAATTAGGTGTGGGGAAGGAAATATCAGAAGTTAAGATTCTACATGGATCATTATTGGAAGACAACAGGAATTTTTCTCATGATATCTGTGAAAATTAGCTGAGCCCAAATAATTTGCCGTAAAGAATGTGGCTTTTATAGTCTAAAATTTGTTGAAAAGGCTCTGTGAAAAGCTCAATTTTCTTATTGATTTGTGGATAATCTGCAATTTTGATTTCTTCGTAAGAGTTCTGAAATGTTTGGAAAATGGGTCAGATGGAGTTACAGTGCTGGTGAAAAATGTAGTGATTTGACTAGTCAGATGAGGAAATAATAATGTGAAGAACTGGACTTGTATCATGGGAAATTTATCAGTTTCCATGTCTATTTAAAGATTGCCATACTAAAATCAGTAAGGCAGTGTGGATTTAATGGCACACCTAGGGGAGCTGTTATCCCCTTTTCCAGCAAGCACCATTTATCCCTACACATCTTTCAAAAATGCTTCCCTGTGTGCCACTTGCTCTGGGTCTGATGACATGGGAAAAGTTATGCTGTATCATAAGCTATTTGCCAAGACCGCCAGATCTGACCTTTCAAGATTATGTCTGTTTAAGTGTGTTTAATGAAAATTCTGAGATCTTTTAAATTGATTACGTATGTATAGTGTGATTTCTGAAATTTTATACAGACCTCACCTGTGTCTTCTATTCATAAAGGTATAAAGGACGAGAAGGAAATCATGCTGTTCAGACATGCTGCTCTGGTGCACCTGCTGGTGACAGTGCGAGATCTTCTATTAACATGTGGCTTGGACACAGCACTAGGTTTGTTTTTAGTAGTGAATAATGATACCCAGAAACGCAACATTTTGTGTGTATTCTGCAGTCCGTCTTTCATGTTTGTAGGCTGTTATTCTTTGCCATCAGTATACCTCCACTGTAGGTTCAATATGATATTAAACCCCCTTTGCTTCCTTAATTTTGTTACATCACTAGAAATGAATGCACTGCACATTGTATTTTGGTAATGTATATGCTCAGTTTATGGTGAAATACCACTGTGTATTTCATTACATGGATTTGCCTAAGAAACATTCATATGGACTTCCATATATATAATGTGTTGTCTTGTATCTCAGAATGACAAATTTTCGTTGGAATCTCTGTGTGGAAAGTGAGAAACATGCAAAAATGGCAAGTCCTTTGTTGTTTACAATCCACCTTCTGCGAGTGTGGAACACTTTCCACCTAAAAATATTCCTAGACTCCCTGAAAATGAGATAGTTAAAACTGAGGGCATTTTAAGCAAAATCTGAAATATTATCTAATGTATCATGAAGCAGGGAGTTTGAAGTTACAGACCAATTCTTAACACTGGACCCACACAGAAGCTTTTTTCGAGCTTTTCTGGTATTATGCTACTCAGATTTGGGATATGAAAATCCGTTGTAACCCAATTTTATGCCTGAAATGGTCATGCCATGCTTCGCAAGTTCCCATAGTTGTGTATTGTAAATTTTCAGATAGATCTATCAGAACAGATTCATAAGGAGCTGAAGTTGGCTTTTACGAATGCCCTAGGAAAGTCAGGCTCCCTCTGTCTTTATAGGAGATACCACAGCTCTAACTTCAGTCACTCTGAATTAACCCTTGATGGAGGGAGGGTGTTTCCTTAAAAGGGATGCAAAATGAAAAACATCTGCCATAAAACAAACTGTGGGAAAAAGAAATTATTTTGTAGTCACTTAAATATTTCTAGCAATAAAAGAGTAGGAAGAAAAAAACCAGAATTAATGTATAAGTAGAATCCTAAGCAGAATTCATTTCTACAATTACTATAAACAGTGTAGGAGGATGGGAAGGATACAACTGAGCAGTTCTTCCTCCTCTGTTCTGTTGTGGCAAAAGCACTTCTAGATGGTATTTCAGAATTACACAGCACCTGTCCTTCCATATCCCAGCAGCACGTCACACAGGAGAATGTACAAGTAAAAAAGAGCTGAAAAAAACTTAGAAAATTGAACCAGATAATAAGTAGGCCCTGTAGTCCTCACTATGGTTGTGATGTTGTGCTGTGCTGTGTGATTCATCACAGTTATCTTAGATGTATTTTTTCTTTATGTATTTTCAAATAACCCCAACATTTTTCACCATTTATATACAAAAGGCATTATTCAGAGTTGAGAAATACTTGTGATAATATGAAGTGGTGAGAACACAGGAAAAGTAAAGCCTTGGACAGTGGGAATATAAATAAAGTTGTTATTTGTATGTTAAATATAACAATGCTACTGCTGGTATCTGCAGCTATAGAATGCAATGTTCTATAATTCTAGCTGGAGTCATACAGCAGACATTACAGGAGGTACAGCATTTTATAAAGGCCACTTATGTATCTAATTAGTAGTAATAGTATCCTTCCATATTGGTGAGCCATTCATTTTTCATCTTTTTTGTGCAAGATACCTTCACATAAATTTTAAATTTTAAATTTATGTGTAAATTAAACACAAACCTTGGCAATTATCTTTTGTCATTGCAATTACTTATTTTGATGCTTTATTAACAGGTTATTTGTCCAAGGCAAAGGATATCTATAAAACCATCTTAGAATCCTGTTTAAATAGCATCTGGAGGCAGTTGAAGATTGTACAGTACAGCAGCCAGAAAAAGCATGAAACAAATCCCAAAATAAGAGAGCTTCAGTGTCAAATGTTGAATTGGATGCAAAGTTATGGAGAGGAACACAATGTTAAGGTTAACAATGTAAACAATTTATATAAGCAAATAAAACTGCTCCAAACGATGTGAATAATTACACAGCTATCTTTCCACAAGTGTCAATTTATGGAAGAAAGTCTTATAATTACCTAACTCTTAAGTATCTACTAAATAAGTAGTAGATACTTAAGGTAAAAGGTACCCTTTTTACCTTACTAAATAAGGGTAACATAAAGTTTAAGACCTCTGTCAGGAGCAGTGCAGGTTTCTGTTTGATCAAATCTCCCCTTGTTGCATGACTGAGATACTATGTATATGAGTTTTAACAATACCAGGGCTTTATCTTGTTGCAGGTGGTTTTGTTTCCCTGGTAAATAAATTGTATCACATCACTTACTGAAAATTATAACTTTTTATTTGAAGGCCTCAATCTTCTGGTGCAAGGACAATCATACCACAAGGCAGGATTGTGTACTTGCACAATGTGTCTCAGAGCATACACACCATGGAGTATATTGGTGGTGTTATCTATAGATGAGCTCTGCTTAACCCATATATCAGGCCAATCTCCTGGCATTTTAATTGTATAAAAAGCAAATATCCATAAGTGCTAGTTATGGCATGGAGGATAGAGTTGTGGAGGAGATTGAAGTTATCCAAAGACCTTTTTTTTCTGGATATGTGAATATTTTGGGTGATACCATGCAGTGCAAAACACCATGTATTATTTATTTACAGAATACTTACCATGAAACAGAAGGGATAAAAAATATAATTTTTAAGTGTCCTGACTGTTTTGAATAGAATTTATGCTGCTGGATACACAGCCAAAAAAGATGAATCTTCAAGCTTACTTTAATTTATTTTAATTTCTTTCCATATGTTACTTCCTGGAGTTTTCTTCTTCCTTTGTTTCTGTTAAGAGTTGCACTAAGAGCTCTGAATATCTTTTCATTAAATTTTCCTGAGAAGAAAAATATAATAGCTTATTGTACAGCCTTTTAGAATTCAAAATGGCAATGAAGCAACCAAAACAAAATTATTGTCTTGGTGTTTGTCCTTCAATAGACCCTATAAGCTGGTTTCAGCATAATTTCCTTCTTAGGAGTAACACATTTTGTTTTGTGATACTAGGATTATGCTATACTAGGAGACGTATGACAACTTTGTTGTCTTAATGTCAGCGCTGTGACAATTTTGCTTTTTTTCTAAACTAGATATAATTTTTAAATTTTTAACTATAACTTTTCTGACTTTTGATTTCTTCGTTTGACTTAAGGTTATGCATATGCATGCAGTGTAAGAACAGATACTATTTTAGTCACAATTATAAGATTGTTACTGTTCCCTAACACTCAGAAACAGGTTTCAATGAGCCAGAATAGACAGAAGGACTATTGTGGTTTTAATAAGAAGTAACAGTTCTATTGACTAAGCCATTTCCAGTTCTTTCACATCAACATCAGTTAATGTGATGTGACATATGATAATCTGTTTATCCTTTTATTAATCATAGAATCACAGAATGGTTTGAGATGGAAGGGACCTCAAAGATCATCTAGTTCCAACCCCCCTGCTGTGGGCAGGGACACCCTCCACTAGCCCAGGTTGCCCAAAGCCCCATCCCACCTGGCCTTGAACACTTCCAGGGATGGCACATCCACAGCTTCTCTGGGCAAACTGTTCCAGTGCCTCACCACCCTCATAGTGAAGAATTTCTTCCTCATATCTAATCCAAATGTCCCCTCCTTCAGCTTAAAGCCTTTACCCCTTGTCCTGTCCCTACATGCCCTTGTAAACAGTCCCTCTCCGGCTTTCTTGTAGGCCCCTTCAGGTACTGGAAGGCTGCTATAAGGTCTCCCCAGAGCCTGCTCTTCTCCAGGCTGAACAACCCCAACTCTCTCAGCCTGTCTTCACAGGAGAGGTGCTCCAGCCCTCTGATCATCTTCATGTCCCTCCTCTGGGCTCACTCCAACAGGTCCATGTCTTTCTTGTACTGGGGACCCCGGAGCTGGATGCAGTACTGCAGGTGACATCTCACCAGACTGGAGTAGAGGGGCCTACTGGTCCCTCGACCTGCTGGCCACACTTCTTTTGATGCAGCCAAGGACACGGTTGGCTTTCTGGGCTGCAAGCGCATGTGGCTGGCTCATGGTGAGCTTCTTGTCCACCATGATCCCCAAGTCCTTCTCCTCAGGGCTGCACCCAATCCACTCGTTGCCCAGCCTGTAGTTGTGCTTGGGATTGCACTGACCCATGTGCAGGACCTTGCCGTTGGGCTTGCTGAACTTCATGCGGTTTGCATGGGCCCACCATTAGGAGGAGCTGTGGACTCCCTCGAGGGTAGAGAGGCCTTACAGGGAGATCTAGATAGACTAGAGAACTGGGCAATCACCAACCATATGAAATTCAACAAGAGCAAGTGCCGGATTCTGCACCTGGGATGGGTTAATCCTGGTTGTACATACCAACTAGGGGACAAGAGGCTGAAAAGCAGCCCTGCAGAAAGAGATCTGGGGGTTTGGGTTGATGGCAGGTTGAACAGAGTCAACAGTGTGCCCTGGCAGTCAAAAGGGTCAAACATGTTCTAGTGTGCATCCAGCACAGCATAGCTAGCCGATCGAGGGAGGTGATTGGCCCACTCTACTGATATGGCCTCACCTTGAGTCCTGTGTGCAGTTTTGGGTGCCTCAATATAAGAAGGACATCAAACTATTCGAGTGTGTCCAGAAGAGGGCGACCAAGACAGTGAAAGACCTTGAGGCCAAGACTTAAGCAGAGCTGCTGAGGTCACTTGGTTTGTTCAGCTTAAGAGAAGTCTGAGGTGTGACCTCATCACGGTCTATAACTTCCTCAAGGGGGGCAGCAGAGGGGGAAGTACTGATCTCTGTCTGGTGACCAGTGACAGGACATGGGGAAAGGGAATGAATCTCCATCAGAGGGAGTTCAGATTGGACATTAGGAAAAAGTTCTTCACTGAGAGGGTGGTCGGTCACTGGAACAGACTCCCCAGGGCAGTGATCATGGCACCAAGCCTGTCAGAGTTCAAGGAGCATCTGGGCAATGCTCTTAATCATATGGTTTAGTGTTAGGTAGTCCTGTGAGGAGCAGGCAGTTGGACTGGATGATCCTTTTGGGTCCCTTCTGACTTGAGATATTCTATGATTCTATGATTGTCATTCTGGAAAAACTCCAAGGTTACCATTTTTGCCATCTGTTTAGTCAATCTCGTGCTTTCTGTGCAAAGGAGAAAGAAAGATGCATGCATGCTGAAAGAACAAATTTTTTTACGGTACTAGAGTTTCTTTTACTTATCTTCTTGCAGATACTAATCATAACAAGGATGGACTCTGAGAGAGAAAAAGCTGCCCTCATTCACACTTTATCTAGCGTAGAAGGTAAATAATTATTTTTATGTGTATTTTTAAAAGAAAAAGTGACTGTTATTCTGTACTCCACTGCATTCCTGTTTGTAAGCTTTTTGCAGGTGTTTCTCCATTTTCTCCTCATCAGCAACCTTTCTATACACTTCTTTCACTATTTTCTGTTTCCTAACTCTTCCATCAGCCTTTTTTCTTTCTTGTAATTTTATTTTCCCCTGATTAAAAGTTCTGGTATGATGTTTTCTGTTGCAAGAGAATGATAGTTAATCTGTCAAGTCAAAGATTTACTTAACAGAACACAAAGGAGATATGGGCAGCCCATTGCCTAATTATAATTGCATCTATTGTCTTGGTCAGATTGTCTCACTGTTTTTAGCTGATTGATGGTCACAAGTTTTCTTCCTTGCAAACTTATTAAGAGCAGTTAGAATTTAGTAGTCTTAACTAAGCTCCTTAGCATAAAAGCTTAAATTAGTAGGTGGGTACAGATCATGATTTCCCTTAGCCATCTGTTGCTGACTTTACATATTTGCTAAATAGGTAAGCATAAGCTGTAGCATATCTATTAAACTCAAGGGGGGGAAAAATACTGTTTCCAATATCCCGGCCCCCCACTGATACAAGCAATACTTTCATCAATTCATCATTTTACCTGTCAGTAATTTTTGTACAAGCTTGTTCAACGTTGCAGATTCAGCTGGTAAAACAAACCTGTTTCAGGAAGATTGTTATTTGAGCCTGTACTTATATTTAAAGCAAGCCACTGATTCCTTTCATATTGTTTTTTAAACCCCATTTTTCTAACTCCTTCTTGCTTGAACCTTCTCAACAGTGTCATATACGGTATCCTTCCTTTGCTTTTAAAAATAAAGTTAAATTTCCTGTGCTCTTAAAAGAAGAAAGCCTGTCTTTTAGAATGTTTTGAAAGGGAGGAGGCATGTTCACAATGGTTTTAATAATAATAATAATATTTATTGAAAAGTATTTGGTTTAAGATCTTAAGACTTGATTGCAAAAACAAGTCAATCCAACTAACTAAACTTTTGAAGAGAGGCATTTGTGTTATACAAATATCCCTTTTAACTACATTTTCCAGTCATACTTGTAAAACTTGAAGTGTACAGAAAGTGTAAAGGAATTTAAATGATAAAGGGGCAAAGATGCTTCCTTTTGCACTAGCCTTTAATTTTTCATTTTAGGGTAATTGGGTTGTGAGTTTATGAGACAAAACTTGTTTGCATTACTTCTTCCCTGTGTTCAAAACCAGAAGTTTCTAAATCATTATACCCACCAGTGCAATACAAACTGAAATTGTGTAGGACTTCCTCATGAAAGACAATATAATGCATAAAATTTTAATATCCTGTGTTGTTCCACATTTGCTGGTTGCTGCTGTGCATTGATTCATACCCACAGAGGCTCATTTGATTAAGGCTTTAATTCTTTTTTTGCAGGTTTAAAATCTATAGATTTGAATTCTGAGAAAAAAGGTACCCTTTTAGGTTGTAAAGATATCATAAGCAAGTAAGTTAAATTCTTGATTTTTGAGAACAAAGTCTTTACTCAGGGCTAATGTCAGTGAAACTTTTGTTCCTTTTGTGCATTTCCATTGGACTTTGCAGTCTAGAGTAAAAATTTCAAAATATTGATCTATGGCATCATTCTGGGAGGGGAGAATTTTGTCTACACTCTGGTAAAATGCTTAGTTGTGAGGCTCAGAGGAACTTTTAGAAAACACACAATTGCATGTTTTAAACTTTTTATTTTGTTTTGCATGTTTTAGAAAAACATGTTTAGAAAAATGTGCAGAAAAACATGGGTTTATTGCATGTTTTAGAAAAAGGGGGGGAAGGGCATGAGAGAAATAAAGACAAATTATGATATTGCAGGAAAATATGAATACTTCAAGTAGATAATTGGAGGGGGGGGAAGTAGAACTTTTAATTTTTAAATTAATTTTTAAAGAAATTGCAGTTTTAAGTTCAGAGAGGGTAGATACTTTTTTGTAAACAGACTTTAAACAATGGTAATTCTTAAAAGTAAAAATGTGTTTGTTTTCTTCTGAGGGTAATTCTACTGGACCTTAATTTTATTAATATTTTGTTGGGTCTTTTTAAGCCTTAGTAGATATTCCTGTATTATTGTACATAATCAACAAATTGGAGCTGACTTCCCTTGGACACACTTCTCATTAGTAATGGAATATGATTATTCTGAAAACTCTTGCTGGAAAAATCTGTGCAAAAATCTGAATGTTACTTACATGACTTTTAAAACCACCCTCCCTGAAACAATACAAGTGGGTAAGTGCTCTTCCAAATTGCAATAAATAATTGGGCTGGCATATGAAAGGAAAGCATTTTCTGTTCCCTAAAATGCTACATTCATGTGCCTGTGGAAAAGATTGAGTATTAAATTATGAAGGCTATACCTAAGCAAACAGAGCTGGTTTCTCTATACAGCAAAATAGGAAGGTGTTTTTCTTATGGTGTGAGCTTAGTTTTGGCCAGGATGCAGCAGTAAATGTGGGTTGATAAAAGAGTTGTACCAAGTTCACAGGTTGTTTACAGTTATTACAAGTTGTATCCACCCTTCCTCGTCCTAAGAGAATGTTGCTGTAGATCTAAATGAATAGCAAATAAAGCTTAATTAGAAAGAGATTCAAAAGAGTTTAATTAAAAAAAAACACAACAACCAAACAAAAAACTCATATAATGGAAGCATTTTAATGGGGATGAATAAAAGCTGAATTTTTAAAAGGTATGTCTATTTAAATACCTAAATGTATCTTTAGTTTTTTGCTTATGTAAGTATTATCTTACATATACAAAATGTTTCAGGGAATCACTGTGGTTCCTTTCTTCTGGAGGTACAGATTCCATATGTATTTCTGACAACTGAAGGTCTTCTTAATATGCCAGATATTCTTCAGCTTTTGGAATCCAAGTGAGTGAAAATAACTTATTTAATCTTATTGACTACTTATTTTCAGTTTCCAGGACGTGTATCTTGTCCTCCTATATCATGTAGTAGCCATCTTCTTGGCCATAAGGTACATTACTGCAATTACACTATTAGCATTTCAAGAGACAAGAAGATAAATTTTCTGCTGAAGTTGATAGCTTAATTCTATAGATTCACATAGATGTCAACAAGAAGGGAATAGGCCAATTTTTTTTTTTATTTTAATAATGAGCTGGCACTTTTACTCAAAAAAACTTTTAAAATTGTCTACTTTACCCTGAAAATCATAATGTTACTCCAAACCATTTTTTGCTTCAGTGCTTCTTGGTGCTTGGAAGACTTTGTATTTAATTTGACATAAAAATTGCTTTTGGATTTTTTCGTTTTTAACTACTAGAGCTATGCTAAAAAAACAAAACAAACAACAGTGAACCAGTCTCATTTTCTGGTATATCACACCTTTTGGGAGAGGCTAAATTAAAAACTACTTCATTTGTAAAATTCAGATCTAATATTCAATTAATTTTGAATACTCTTTAACCTGTACAAAAATTTTCATGTTTGCACATGTGCATTATTTTCTTTGAAATAATTTTCTTGCATTTTGCTTTCACAATATTAAATACCTGATAGACGTACCTGTAATCATAGGGAGAAAACAAGAAAGAAATAGGGGGCAGAGCAGGAGCATCTATTAAACATAGTGCCAGAGATACAGATGGTTGATATCACCATGTTGCTGAAGAGACATGCCAGTTTTAATCCTTGCTGTATCTTTGAGACAGCTGTGAAGCCATTTTTGAACTGTGTCTACTTACAGTTCGACAGGAAGAAAAAAATTATATGTTTGACATTTAGAAACATACAATGGTTTGAGATGGAAGAGACCTCAAAGATCATATAGTTCTATCCTCCCTGCTGTGGGCAGGGACACCCTCCACTAGCCCAGGTTGCCCAAAGCCCCATCCCACCTGGCCTTGAACACTTCCAGGGATGGCACATCCACAACTTCCCTGAGCAACCTGTGCCAGTGCCTCACCACCCTCACAGTGAAGAATTTCTTCCTCATATCTAATCCAAATGTCCCCTCCTTCAGCTTAAAGCCTTTACCCCTTGTCCTGTCCCTACATGCCCTTGTAAACAGTCCCTCTCCGGCTTTCTTGTAGGCCCCTTCAGGTACTGGAAGGCTGCTGTAAGGTCTCCCTGGAGCCTTCTCTTCTCCAGGCTGAACAACCCCAACTCTCTCAGCCTGTCTTCACAGGAGAGGTGCTCCAGCCCTCTGATCAGCTTTTAGTCAGCCAAGACTCCACGAAAGCCCTAAGCATGTGATGTTCATTCAGTCTTTGCTAAAGCAGCTGGTAACAGGAGGCTGTGCTGCTGGCAGTTCTCTTTCTCTCAGAAAAATTTAGGATCATACCAATGGCAGTCAGGGAGTTTTCACTCAGTTTGCTTTCCCTGTGCTGCACAATCATGGAAGGAAGAAAAGAAATGCAATATACATTTAATTACTCAAATGGAGTATCTAAGTATGTTTTGTTGATTTATCTATCTTAATTTCTGTATTATGTCTTTTTTTTTGTAAACTCAAAGGCTGTATATCAAGGTCATATTTGGTGTGGTTAACAACACAATTGAATTAATCCAGTAATTTTTCATTAATTTGCTGCTGCATTGATGTGTATTCTTCTAATGTGTCTTAAAGTGAACTCGAGTGTTTGAGAAAGCTTAAAGTATGAAAAGACTGTAATTTTAAAAATTATATTGAGATGTATGTTATTCATTCCCTTTAAGAAAAGATTATTTTACTTAAATGAGGTTTAATGAAATAATTTTTCTTCTTCAGGTACAGCATTACCTTTGTTGAAAGAAGCAGTAGTTACGCCTTAAGGCTCTTTGGAAGTACGGATCGATATGTTGTGTTAACAATAGATGAATGTACAGCCATCTTTTTGCAGGTACAAAATGAAACTCGCATGCCCAAAATCTGTTATGTGTTGGGCCACTTCTGGGCCGTATCTGCAGCCTTCTAATATAGTTTTTCTTCCTTGTAATCATATGTAATTCACGCATTGTTTCACCACACAAATTATTTCCAAATCTATTAGCTCCAAAATCCTGTCTGTGGCAGTTTGACTAGTTTACAATGTTCTCATATCTCTACCTATATGGTATCTAAAGGATACATACTTGAAAATAGGGTTACATAAAGAAGATTGTAGTAGCCTATTAAATGTATCTGTGACTATATTCTCTTACCAGTGTGCATGTTAATTCCTCCCATTTCAGATAGTTATCTGAGTTAGTCTAGATAACAGTTTGTCCTATTTTTAATAAAAAGTAATCATGTAGACAATAGCATAATACTTAAATTCTGGTATGCAGCAAAAGAGACAACTTCACAGGTAGAAGAATTGCTAGTGAAAGACAGATAAGCAATAAAATCAACTCGTATTGCAAGCACAACACAGATATAGACATCCCTACGTGCCACTGCAAATGCTATTGCAATTAGCGATGTTGTACTTCATACATTCAGTGCAGGTATAATATGATTTGTATAGGTTAAGTAAGTACTTCAGAGGTTTATAACACTATTTTGCATTATTAAAGAAGTCCTAAAAAATCTTAAGAACATCCTAAAAATTTAGTAGCAGTGTTTCCTTTTCACAGGAGGGAAAAAGAGGCATGAAGCAGTGATTCAGCTTTTTAAAGGTCAAACAAAATAAAAGTTGGGAATACAACCTAATTTTCCTGACTCCAGATGTGGTTTTAATACCTATATTATTTAGGTATATTTACATTTGATCTAACTTCTGCATAATACAGTGATGCACAATAAAAGCTTGTGACAGTCATGGAAATATATTTATTTAGTTTTTACTTTTTATATTAATGTTATGGTAGAGTATGGAAGAATTAAATTATGAGAAATCCTCTGACAATGTAATATCGAAGTTGATGGCGTTATCACTCCAATATACGTGCTGTTGGATTGTTTTCTATTCCACAGAAAGACTGAGTTTAGAGTAAGTTACAAAATTCTTTTGTTATCTTGGTATTTTTAAAACAAACTTATTACTAAAGGAAGTTGCTTATTAGAACAAGCTAACACGCTTTGTTCTTTGAATTTCTCTGTAGGAATACGTTTCTCTTAGAACAATATCAATATTGTAAGCTCGTATTTCTAGCATGCTTTGGACTTTGCACTTAGTTACAGTGTTGTCATGCTCCTACTGAAAAACTCAGTGAAATTATAGAAGTAGCAGTGATCACTCAAGACCCCCCAAAAAGTTAGTAAACATGGTTTTTTATGTGCTAGGATCTTTTTAGTCTTACACAAGAGATAAAGAAATGGTTGTTATAAAATAACAGGATTTGAAGGTAATGCTAATGTGAGGTGTCTTTCAAATCAACAAGACCAGAAATTTCACAAGAGAAAGGATATTAACCACTGGAATTATTCTTTATAACTATTTGAAGTAAATTAACCCCTACAAATATAGGGTTGTGAATTACTGTGTTAGCATCACTGTATATCATTTGCAACAGGGAGACATTCTTCAAGGGTTCTTCCAATCCATCAGTAGTTCTTTTGCTATGGAAGCACAGCTTTTGTTGATATTGTTCACCAACATTTCTTTATTACTTATTGTGAGATTTTTTTTGTATGAGCAAGTAGTAAATTTTCCATGCATCACCTTTCCTCTCTGTATGATTTTTCTCCAGTGACTGACCCTGATCCAGTCCTTTTGCTTCAGGCCAGGCTTGCTTTGCTGTGGGCTGACTCCATTTTCTTCCACACAGTGCATCCTTCAGCACTCAGTCACTTAATGTGTCCTAGTTCTCCTTTCACAGATACTAATGCTTGAACTGTACTAGTATTCTGAACTCCAGGAAATGAAAAAGATGTTTATTAACACATGGAACAAATGTTTTGGAATTACTACATGTGCATATTAAATATTAATGGTCCAATGAAACTGTTTTATAGGTACAGTCTCAGGGGAGATACTCTGCTTAACCTTGTCTCAATTTATGCCACTTTAATTGAATTTACACAGAAGACAGAAGACTTTGAAGTGAAGGTAATTCTTTTGGTAACAACCCTTCTTTTTCAGTCTTCACTGTACGATATTTCTACAGTGCTTAATCAAGTATGCATTCTACATCAAAAATGTGAAATAGCTCAAAATTACTAAAATAAGAGAGAGGAGCTTAATTCAGTGCTACTGAAGTCAGTGAAAAGACTGCGTTGACTCCAGTACAAGTTGAATCAGATTCAAATAGCAGCTGAAGTGTTTTTATGACTAGGAGTCAAGAAGTAAGATTGTACTTTTACTTTTATAAATTATTAGAACATGTATTAATCCTGCTTATGTCTTAATTTGAAGTTTCACATTAATATTATGTTACTAATGCAGTAACATAATATTAGAAGAAGAGAAAGTATAATCTACTGTCAGCTGGTGTTCATTTTTTTTATGCAACAAGATAAATTATCTTTTGTCATTGTAAATCAGAAAACACAGTATCTAGAATAATCATCATTAAAAACTGAGGCAAAAGTTTCATTTGGCTTACCAAGTTGATGTCTGTAACTTATTTGTTTTACATGAAGTACCATCTTTTTAGGCAACTTTTTACATATTTGCATATTAAAATTTGTTTCAAATTTATCTGGTTAAAAGAAGGTTAAAGAGAGGACAAAGCTTTTTTCATTCCATGTACTCAGCAGTGTAGTTCATGTGGAAATTACTTATACCGTCAAAGTGTTACACATCTTCTTAAATTATATTAGGCATCTCAGAATTAACTGTTTTATTAGGAACTCATATTGTACCCATAAACTTGATCGCATATGAAAGACCTATAGGATAAACTCATTTCACCTACATAGGATTTGCATAAATAAGGAGTGCAATTTGCAGCCAGGCTAGTGGTCAGAGGTTGGAGTTACTTTGCATGATAAGCATGGATCAGGTTTAATTACTCCACATTATCAGCATTCAGGGTCACCTTTAAGCTTTACCATTTAACTTCTCTAGCAAATTAAGACATTCCTTAGTGTAAGTGTTAACCAAAAACATTATGTATCACTTTTAGGTAGTTCTTATGCCAGGAATTGAAGAGACAGCAATGGTAATTCGTCAGATTGCTGACAACATTTTGGTAGCATCTAATATCAGTCCTCATAAGTGGTTGGACAAATCCTGGATTTCTGTCTTGCCATCTGAGGTTTGCTTATCTTTCCATTAAATTATACTGTTTTCTTCCTGTTTCTCAGACTCATAAAGTTCTAGGCCTTTTTTTGCTGTTCTCTTAAAATATATTATTAAAATAAACATTATTTTATATATTT